GAGGGAAACTGGGGGGGAAAAACAACGACTAATGATCCCGGCTCAGGCTGTGGATGCTGGTGTTCTCACTCTTCCCCTTCACTCCAGGGTGTTGTCCTTTACAGACTGCTAAATCAGGAAGCTTCTTCTCTGGGGGCAGGGAAAATACTGTGATCTAGCAGCACGTATTTCTCCAATGATCTGAGTGTGAGCCTCGCTGTCAGGGGGTGCTTTGCTTTGCTCTTCTAGCTCTTCAGACCCTGAATTCCACCTTATCTGCTGGCTGGCTATGGCAAAGCTCCAGTAGAAAATATAATAGTAGAAGTGACAACAGCAGCGTCTGTTCCCTCAGCAGAAATTCAACCCAATCTCCTCTGACTGTGATGTACGCAGGCGGCTGTGTGCGATGGGGGCAGACGTGTGCCCCTGGCTGGGATGGTCCATCTCCCCATCTCGGTGTTGATTGCAGTGACAGCTGTCGTGTGCTGGCGACTTACCCCACTACACCTACGTGGTTTCAGAAATCCCTGAGCTTGACAAACTCTGAGAGCATCCACTTTGCTCTCTGTGGGCAACTGTTTGTGTGTGCTGTGTACGTGTATGTTTACACGCGCACATCCTTGCAATAGGTGATTTGCAAAGAAAGATGCTAGGTGATACAGACAACTTCAGGCATCATCTGCTAAGGAGCCCTAAACAGCTTGCATTTGTTTTAGAGTGAAAATCCTCCAACTGCTCTCCTACCAACCCTGTAACACGTTCTGAGATGCTGTGCTTCTGGAAGCTGAGGCTTGCAACTGAAACGTCTGAGCACGGGGCTAATGTGATTGCTGAGATAAAATGCAACATTCAAAAAACCACCACGTGCCAAGGAACTGCTGAGCGGCCTGGGCCAGGTGCTGATGTCAGCTCCTCCAGCAGATTTCCACTCTTTCAAATGGATTATTGTGGCTTTACATTGGCGATTGGAGTCTGGCCAAAGAGTTTTGCCTTTGGTACACGACAAGTTGATTCTCTAGGGCAGACGTGGCCTTGCAGAATAGCTGGGAACTGCTGCAACCTGCTGTTTGCTCCACTGAGTGAGAAGATGGTACGTTACTGTGGCTGCTGTAATCTAATAAGGCAAATCTATGGTGGGAATGAAAGTGCTGTGCATCCATCCCATAGCTACCTTGGGACACTCTGTGTTATTTGTGCAAGAGTGCTCCAGCCTGGGAAGGACCTTTCCCTGAGGGACTGATGCTTTATATCCATGAGTGGTTTTTTTTGTTTCTCAGGGAATATTTTACAGTACTGGGGCTTACTAAGATCCAAAGTGTTTGTATTAACATAAAGATTTGTGCATCCCTGCTGAGACCTGCTGGGTGTGTGTGTCTTACGGGACACAAACAGAGGTGTGGAGCTAAAAGAGCTGTAAGTCTGAACAAGCACATGGCTGCTCCCTGCCATTGAGGGCTGGGTCACTCTGGCTGCACAGCTAACGCCTCCGACTTGCTTCTCAGCACTAATAAGGAGCAGAAGGATGCCTTATCAGAGATGCAGTTCCTGTTATCACTCTGGAGAGGCAGAGATGCTGTACAATGCAAAAGAAAGGATGGGGGAGCTGTGTGGTGCCTGATAATAAAGCTGCGGTTGTCTCCGCTGCCTTTATTTACTTAGAACTGCCTTGTAGCTGGGCTTAAAGTTTAAATAATACTAAAGAAAGAAGACAGAAATCAAATGCCATACAAAGCAAAGTGCCTCAGTGCTTCCAATTTAACGGCTCATGTGAGAACTTGAAAGGAATCATACGTGATAATGAGTCATTTCATCTCAGTGATGCTGATGAAGGGCTGCTCCTCGTTGCCGCAGCTCCAGAGGGGAGTCAGAGCAGTGGGGAGCAGCTCTGGGAAGGAGGAGAGCAGGAGGCTGTGCTGTGCAGCAGACTGAGAGAGCAGCAGGGAAAGGTGAAAGGAAGGAGTTGGGTGAGGAATTCCCACTTGGCTTTGGTCAGTGTAAGTTCTGTGTGGCTCAGACCCTGAGAATACCGACCTGTAGGGAGGTTTAAGAAGTGTTTTTCTGTTCACAGCATGAACAAACTTGTCATAAGAAAACCACGAGGCTGAGCAGGAAGATGATTGTGGACTGTCCTGCTGAATTCATGCAGAAGAGACCAAATAAATGATACCCTGTGACATTTGTGCAGCCAAAGATGGTATTTGTCCAGCCAAAGCCAGTAGCTGCATACTCAGCAGACAGGAACTCAATATAAACCTGCTCTTTACAGATAAATTTTTAGCCTTGGAGACTTTTTCTCAAAATCTGGCCTGTGTTTTCTGCTCCAACTGCCTTCTAAATCCGTACTGAGCTATCCATTACAATTCATCCCTTTTGATCCCAGTTCTGGAGAGCTGAGCAGGCTGTACCACTTGGTATTACTTACCAAGTAGGGTTTTCACAGCCAACCTCTGAAAAATAGTAAATCTGAAGGGAAAATCCTTTTCTTTTTTTTTTTTTTTTTCATTCATTAAAAGCATTACAAATGACCTTTACCTGCTGCAAACATAATCCATTAATAATGTGCCTTGTGCTGGACAGATGATGGGGATCTTCTGCCTGAGGATTAAGGGATTGTGCAAACTCATCACTGCTGACGCACTGAGAAAATGTTTACATTTCTTCAAATCACAGGTGGGACCGTCCTCAGAGGTGCTAACACCTATAGCAGGGTGCACGTCCATCTTGTGCCCACCTTGCTTTGAAAAGCTTAGCTCGAGTGTTGGAGTTTTTGTGTTTGCTGAGAGTGCGGTGGGCTCATTGCTGTGTGATCCTGCAAGTGCTGGGCTGGGCTGCAGCACAGACGGCATGGATTTCCCAGCTGTGAGTGAATGGGAAGAAGGCAGAGGATGTTCACTTGTCACCCTCATCCATCTCAGCTCGCTGAAGTTGCTATTGCAAATAGAAGTTAAATGTTGAGAATGTAGCAAGCAGCGTGGACAAAACCTCACACGCTGCTATTCTTACAGCTGAGGCAGCTTCATGGAGACTGGGACGTGTCAGGGTGATTTATCACACAGCTTCTGGAGAAAATAAACAATTCTGGTGGCAGAAAAGAGCTTTCCTCATTGAAGAGCCATCAGATTTGCCAGGACAGTAATGGGCTGGGGAGATGGCCCCGAGGGATGGGCAGAGGCATGAGGAAGCTGCCGGGTGAATGGGCAGCAAGCAGGGCTGTCACTGCGCTCAGTGCTGCAGCAAACTTGGCAGAAAACTGATCTGCTCATTTTCCACTGTCAATCCAAAAATACAGAGAAAATAAATACTAGCTACTCTGTGAATGTAAGCCTGTGTTTGGAGGGCTGGCAGAAAGGTGAGGGCTGCCCCAGTGCCGGGACCTCACAGCTTGGACCGCTCTTTCTGCACCCGTGTGATGAGCCCCAGTGGCTTCATGTGATAACCTGATGGGGATAGTGGGGCCCAATGGCACGTGCCCCATAAGAGATGCATTGTGAGTCCCATAGAAGCCCTTGGCCTTCCTGATGGGGTTCTGATGAAGGCTCTGCCCTTCGGTCCCAGCTGTGCCCTCAGCACGGTGGCCTCCAAACACCATCACCTTCCTGCCAGCGACAGCTGCAAAAGTGTGTCCAGATCTTATGTTAGGTCTCATTAGGGGCTCATCCTGATAACATTCATTAGGCTTTTGAGGTTAATCTTCACAGATTCATGTCATATTTCTTGCTTAAACGACAAGCCTTGTTATGATCCCCTCTCTAAGTGAAAGGAATGCTGGCAGTGGCCCCATGAAGAGGTGGAGGTGGGACAGCCTGCAGCCCGGACCCTTTGCAGGCAAAGCTTTGTGTAGCCAATTAACGCAGGGTTAACTCTCAAGTTCAGCTGTATAATTACATCTGCCTTTTCTCCTTATATTCGTCTGGATTAATTACATCTGTGCTGCTGAACAATTCCTCCTAATTGCAGACAAAGAGCATCCTCCTTCACCCAGGGTGCGACAGGGCGGTGGGATGGCTGGGAGTAGTGAGGCACTCCATTCAAGCTGTGCTAATTCTGCTTGAGATGAGGCCCATGTTTTCTTCCCTGGAAACTCATTATATAGGTTATCGGCTACTTAGAGCTGCCAATAATAGATGCTACTGTGCTGTAGCATTGTGCTTCCAGTGCCCAGACTGTTACCCTCATGAGAAAAGTGGGTTAGAGCAGTGAAAATAGTTCACCTGCTTCTCTGGTGACGGAGCAGAAGGTAAATCTGGGAGCCTTGGTGGGACTCAGGAGCTTTCTATTGCTTTTAACAAGTCAGCACAGTTTTTGGATGCGTGCAGACGGTGGTGGGGTGAGAGGGAAAGGAGTATTATTCACCCAGAGCAGCCTGCTGCTTTTTCTGGTTCCCAACCATCCATGCCACTGGATACTTATGACAACCGCAGTGCTTTTTATTGTCCGGAGGGCTCTCCTGAGCATATTAACTACTTAAATCTCATTAAAATCTAGCAGGAGCCGAGTTCTGAAATCTCATTTGTCTTAAAGAGTATGAGGTTGTGTTTTTCAATTAAAGGAGGTTTTATCTCCTCTTCCTCTGGCTGGCCTGTGCTGAGCAGGTTGCAGCACCCAGGACTCCACGTACTACTTGGCTCTGCAGTTTCAGAGCTGCTCACAAGGTACAGCTGGGCTAATAAGTGATGCTTCAGCCCATTATCGAGGAGGTATGGTGCACGGATTGAGTCAGTTAAGTGATTATATTGGGAATGTATGGGGCGATAAACGTCTCCCTTGCTCATAACCCAGTGGCTAATGCAAAGAGATACTGCTAGACTGCTCTGTTTCTGCTGGGCTCTACTGCATTTAAATTGCAATTAGGTTGTATATTTGAAGAAGAAGGAAAAAAAAAAAAGCACAATTCAGCTGCAGTGTAATTCAGTGAAGGTGAACTTCACCCCTGTTCTGCATTGGTTTACAAGGTGAGTGCTTCACAACCACTAGATTTTGACCCAGAGGGTTTGTTCCACCTTGACCTCCTGTGTCTGAAGGTAGTGAGTTGTTCATTCTACTGGAAGCATCTGGAAGGCCTGCATACCTGGTGTAGCTGTTTGCCTTTCCTGAATGGGTTACCCTTAGTATCTCAGTGTCCTGAACTGCAGTCTGGACTTGGTGTGGAGCTGGCCCATTCTCTGAACCCCAAGTGCTCAGGTGAATTTAAGTTCGGGTCTTTACATGCGGTGTGGTTGGATTAGACATGACATTTGTCCTGGCCAGCCAGCATCCTTGCTGCAACATACAGGTCATCCTGCCTGCAGCAGTGCCCTCTCCCCTTTTAACTGCTGAATTTGAAACACATTAGTCAGTTCTGCAAGACTTTTACAGAAAACCAAGGACAGGAAGCTGAATTTTTTGCTCTGCTCTTTTGAAGGCTGAGTTTTCCCATGGAATAAGGCAGTGACAGGAAATGGAAGCAAAATAAAAAAAAAAAAAACAGTGGATCATCATACGTGGTACAGTCTGTAAGATTTTGAAAAAGCCATTTGATTCTTATCTATGGCAGTGATTGCCTTGCTCTGTCCTTAGAATCACACCTGTATCTGAGAGCGTTCCTTGACTGTGTAATGTACATTTGCAGGTTATTCTGAAAGGCAAAGCATTCCTTTTGCTCATTAAAAAGAGAGACTTAAAGTTCTTTGCCCAGGTGGACAATACAGGTAGGTACCCAAGGCCAGGCTGATGCAGACAGCTGTGTTGAAGGTCCCTGGGCTCTGGCCTATTGCACAGCCCCACCTGCTTTGCTTTATCACTTCCCTCATCAGCCCAGCCAAGCTCCCAGATGGATTCTTGCCCTGAAATCAAAAGGGAATTTTTAATTAATATCTGATCATTTGGAATTCGTAACTTTGAAACAATAGAACAATTACAGCATCTGAATCCCATGAGCCATTAATGAGGCTGTCATAAAGCCGCAGTGTCATCTCAGAAGCTGCTCTCATTGCACACAGGAGGGTGGTCAGCAGCCCCAGGCAGGCGGTCAGGCACAGTGCTGCCCAACGTGACTGCTCACTCCTTCATCTGAGAGATGGCTGTTCATTAAAGGGAAGAGAAAGCCATGAGAACACTGCTTGTCATCTGTAAATAGCCAATTCCTTGCAAAGTTCACATTCTTGCCTGGTGATTGATAGAGGAGTTCATGAATGCTTTAAATGCATATAGCTAAGTGACAGCTGAAAAAGGTTACTTCCCTCTTTGGCAGTAACTGGCTTTATTAGGGATGGATTTGTGTGCATTTTGTCTTCCTTCATCTTTTACCCAGGTGAGCCGGTCCTAGCCTAGGAACTGCCCTGGGTATTTTTGCTTGAAAACTGTGTTAGTGCCTCCTGCAACATCTCACAGTGCCAGCTCTTCCCATGGGCGTGCTTGAGAGAGTACTGATGGGAGAAAAAGGTCACAGGAGAGGTGGGATGTTGAGAGAAAAGTGGGGAAGTGAAGGAGAAAAGAGACTTTGCCCTCTTCTACAAAGAGCTTGTGTGAGCTGAGGCAGTAAACAGAAGTGGATGCATGAGGGTGAACAGGAAGGAGGGATGAAGGCAGAGGATGTGGAAGAGCGAAAGATGGAAGAGAATGGAGGGTTCCTCTGGTCAGTTCTGTTTCTCACTGGGTAGTTCAGATGAACTAATATGAATTAAGGCCCCTTAAATTCTAAAGAAGAGGGTTTGTGACATGATCTAAAACAGTTCAACTAATCCACTTTAAAATTAATTTGGTTTAATTTTCCTTGGGGCCCCCATGTGGATATACTCTTAAATACCAAGAATAAATAACAGGTAACTCGGTTGTAAATCACCAGAAGTAATTGTGTACCTACTCACCTATTGTAAATCAGCAGTAACTCCAGTGGGGCTGATTCTCTTCTTGTATACCTGGAATAAACGAAGAGCAACTTGCTGTGAGTCAATAAAGCTAATTTTCCTCCTCTACTTCCCTGGATAAAACAATAGCGAGTCCAGGGGCAAGCTGAGAGAAATTCAAACCAAGGAGGTTCATATTTCAACTTCCGACAATAATTACCTGCTGGAACAACAGACCAAGGACTGTGATGGATTCTGTGTGAACGTGGACTTTTTCTGTCAATATGAGGTAATTTTCTAAGAGAATAGTGAATATCCCATAAAAGGCTGAGATGGAGTTCTCATCTCTCCCTTGGTTCCTGTGTTTGCTGTTGCCATGGTCGTGCTCAGAGGGGAAAGGTAGCATCTTAATAAGCCCTACGTGGGGCTTATGGCTATGAAAAATAATGAGTGATAGCAGCGATGGTGAATCGTATGTAGTATTTTTTTCCTCTTCTGACAATACTGCCTCTGGCAAATGTACCACTCAAGTTGAAACGAATTCTGTGTTGCATGCTGAGGCTGAGCTCCATCCTACCGATGCAGTTTGTGCCAGTGTGAAATGTGACAGAGTCCAAACCAGAAGAAAACATAATTAGCAAAGCGAGTAGAATCCCCATCTGATGTTGTGGCACTTTGCACCCCAGTGACACAGGAACAACCAAGTTGCACAGGCTGTTGAACAAAGCACCACCAGCATGGTTCTCAATTTGATGGCAGAAAAGAAATGAACGAGGTGCTGTAGCCCAAATGGCTGTAAAACTGCCCTGAAGGAGTGTTGGTTGCAAGAGGAGCTCCCATGTTTCCTTCCTCTTCAGGAACAGAAAAACTTACCGTCAAGGAAGGGGTTCCTTCTTCCCAGTGTGACCTAGAGGAGAAGGTGGTCACTAGGTCATGTAAGTGAGGTCTGTTCTCTCCTTATCTCAGGCTGAGTGGATTGGGTTCAGCCCACAGGTTTCATCTTGAAGCATGGGATGCAATGTCTTGACTAGAAAATTGATCTGAAATCCTGCTCAGCCTTCCAGTAGAACCTCGGTGTGTCTGTGAGAATCACAGAATCACAAGGTTGGAAACAACCTGCAAGATCATCTAGTCCAACCACCCTCCCATTCCTATTAGTACCACGAGCACTAAACCGTATCTCGTAGCTCCTCATCCAGGCAGGTTCTCCATGAGGTTCTCCTTCCTCCTTGGGTCTCCTCTCCCCTCTGCAGGAACAGGCTGCAGCTGAAGTTTTTGTAACGATTTGGTTCAGCTGTGCTTTACTTTCTGAGCTCTTGGGTATGACTCAGAATTGATCTTCAAACTCTTCAGGGTTTTTCTTACTTGAGAGGATAAACTCAGCGCTGCTCTCATTTGCAGGAGTACAATGCCAGATGCTATCCAGTCTGTAACCTTCAGGAAAGTGAATGCCTTGCCTTCGTAGCCTAGTGATAGGAAGGCCCAAATTGAAATTGAAAAGTGAAAAAAGACTGGTAACTTTATTGTCAGATACTATTGATCAGAGCTTGGCTGCCCTTTGCTTGCACTGTGTTCATCATCCAGCCCTGAAGTTGTTAAACTGGAAAAAAGAGGTGGAACAAGGGGACGAACTGCTTTTGGAAGGGCAAGCAGAATGCCTTTTGTGGGGATCTTTCACTTCCATGATGGAAGATGGATGGGAAGATGGTATGGCTTCACGTGCAGGAATGGATGCATGCCTTATCTGATCTGTAAAGTGTGTTTGCGGGTAAGGACGTGGCACACCTGCATGTGTGCACCCAAAGCACACAGCACTGAAACAGCTGTGTGAAGGAGTAGGGAGACCGAGTGCACAGAGAACTATTGGATGTTTTGTTCATCTGTCTTTCTGTCCAATGTGGAATCATACTGCCTGTGCTTTAGTTGTTGACTAAAGCCCCCAGGAAAGCACAGCTGAGCTCAGCACTGCCATCACGATGCTGTGCTGAGGGGTGGCATGGAGGGAGCTCCCCTCTGCGCCCACCACTGCCTTCCTGGGCAGCAGAGCAGCCTCTGTCTGATAGGGCTGATCCTGGGAGTTAAGGGCTTATTCCTCCATCAGCGCATTGATGAAAAGAGAAGCGGAGCTCGGGGAGGAAAGCTTATGAAAAGAAAATCAAATCTATCAATTCCCTGTCCTGAATAAATGAATCTGTTATCTCGTGCGTGTAGCGAGATGCCCGGCGGGTAATGGCAGTTCCACGTACAATCAGGAAAGGGAAGTGAAAAAAAAAGAAAAGAAAAAAAAAAAGAGAGAGAGAGAAAAGAAAATCAAGCAGCCCTGAGTGTGCCTCGTGTGGAGTCACAGGTCTCGAGTTGCTGCTGCTCATGAAGGGAGCTTCACGTCCGTGTGCGCCTCGCCTGAAAGCGAACGGGAACAGACGCCAATAGGTGGCGCTTAGGGATGCGCGGAGGTGCGGGGGGAGGCGATGCCCGCTGTGCGCCCCGCAGGCGCAGCCCCGCTCCGCTCCGCTCCCGCCGCCGGCAGACGCCTCTTGTTCCCCGATTGGTCTCATTTTGATTTTAAACAAGACAAAATCTTTGGAGATGAGATAAGCGAGGCTGGTAAAACCAGGTCGCCAAAGAGCTGGCCTGGGTATATTGTGGGTAAATCACTGTGCTACCTGCTGTGACAGGAGTAATTTGTCTCGGGCTGAAAAAAGCTACTGCTTCCCATCCTGAGCAGTAAGGGTCATTCATCACTTTTTTTGTTATTTTTATAACAGAAAAGAGTGCGCTGGTTCCCTCCCTCCATCCCCTCCAGCCAGTCCCCAGGGACAAATTAACCGGTTTGAAAATGGATGAGCTCAGGGACTGTTTTCATTTGCGTTTTTAATGGTGTCACAGAAACCCCCTCCATTCTGCAGCACGCCCTTTCGCACTGCTATGTATGTAGAGGAAGGTTCAGAGCTCCCACTGCTGCTCACCTGGCAGCTGGCTGTGCCGAGAGCCCTCTGAACCCACTGCAATACAGCAGGAGCCCGGGGCAGCTGCAAAGTGCACAGACTGGTGTGAGGAAGCCTCGGGGATTCTCAGGACTGCAGCCCTTGCTGTCAGGAATGAGGGCTGTCTCTGCTCCTGGGGGGGGAATGGGATCCTGCCCTGAAGTCAGAGCCGTCCGTCTGTGTCACAGGAACACACAGCCCTGTTTCATCATGATGCTGAGCTCTGCACAACCACACAAGTTGCGAGTTTGTACATACACAGACATCACTGTTTTATCTGTTACTCAAGCTAAATGTGTACATATATATGCATGTGTTCAGTGGATTGTTTTCGTGATATAGACCTACTGAACACATGTATGTTTATATCATTGTACATCCCTGCCCAGATCTGCCACAGGAACACAACTTGCACTTGTGCCATGCGTTGGAGCTTTAGCATTTTGTTCTTCTCTCATCTCTGTATGGTTTGGGCACTGAAGAGCTGCATCCAGACAGCAAGAAAGAAGATTGGATAGCAGAGTCCTTCAGGATAATACAGATGCTACATGATCCCTTCATCACCAAAGGGACACTGCTTCAATTACTCTGCCAATCACCTGTCTCTCAGCCTGCCAGTCAATTATCCTACAGCCAAGGGATTCGCTTCACAGGGTAGCCAGAAGTGGCAGATATCTGTATTTTGAAAAGCCAGTTTTGCATAATTCTGTACACAAGGGAACAGAGCTGCAAGGTTGGATCCAAAGTGCCACTTCTGTGGAAAATTTCAGGCCGGCAGGTGAGGTCTGTCTGGTGTCTGAAGTTACTGGGACATTGGGGAAGATTTCATTTGGAATGGTAGAAATTGCTTTTGCGTCTCATGCTTCACTCTGGTGAGTTTGTTCAGAGAAAGGGCAGTGAGAAGGAGACGGTGACTGCTCCTGCTGTTTGCTTCCCTCTGCCCTCCCCCACCTCTGCAGGAGCTGCAGTGCACCCTGCAAAAGGGATGGGGCAGCCACTGGGCAAGGTAGATTTGGATTCCCTTTTATATCTCCTTTTGTGCTGTGCAGAGCAAAGCGTATCACCTTCCTCTGCCCTGGTGTCCTGTCTGTGATAGCAGTGATTACTTATTGTAATGACTTGAGGACAAAGACTGTGTACAGCACTGAAAAGCTCAAAGGGTTTTCCTGGGGAAGCAAACTGGCACTGCTCCTTACAGAGCAGCACTGCGCTGTGCTTGCTGTGTGTGTGGTTCAGGGCTTCTCCCACAGCCTCAGTAAGAGCCATTTGTCTCCCAAAATACTCATTGGTTTCAATGAAGATTTGTGGGTTCTCTTTGTTATTAGTATCATTAATTCTCATTTAGACAGAATTTATGATCCTGTCCAGTGAAGTTTATACAAAGTGGTATACTGCAAATGCTCTTATCCCTATGGGGATGGGCAGCCCAGTGGTTTGGATGTGAAGAAATACCAAGTGGACAGGAGGGTGCTTGGACTGAGCAGCTCTCAGGCTCTGAGGGAACCTCTTCCTTTGAGCTCAGCAGGGTGAGGGACTGCAGGCAGCTGCTGTGCTCAGACATCATCCTTCCATGCCATCAAGCTACACCTCCACCTTCTTGCAAAGCTGAGGGATGCAAGAGGCTGTGTGTAGCTCTTACCTTGGCTTGGACCACAGCTCTGTGGGATGACTCACAACCCAGCATTGCTTGTAATTCCATGGATCTAGCTCTGTTACTGGAACCTTACTGCCAGTTTTGGTTGTTTTTTTTATTATATTCATTCTTCCACTTAGGCTCTTTGTTATCACTGCCATTTGTTGGGACCAACAGCTGCTAACAGACACCAAGGGATTCCTGGCAGCTTTGTAGACTGTCTTTGAGTGCCTCGGGCAAAACCTGAAATGTATACAACGTGGAAATAACCCATACTATTCACCCACTGCATTGTGCCCTTCTTCCTCCCTGGGGCGTGGGGGTGGATGCATGGAGGGGTGGTCCTGTATTGAAACATACAAAAATCAGTACGAGGGGCTATATTTTTATTCTTAATTGCTAGGGAATCCTCTAGACCTTGATTCAGGAGAGTGACCTGATGCACAAAGCGTGGTTCCATTTGCTCGTGTACTCATGTTCTTAGCTTGGCCTCAAGAGGAAGCGAAGCTCATGTGATCCTGTGCTATATATGCATCCCTTGCACTTATGAGCCATCGTGTATGATGAAGACCAGGTCTCCAAAGCCCAAGGCCATACATCAGCATCACGCCGTCAGGCAGCTCACTCAGAGGAAGCAGATGCTAAATGCTGGCATTTCCTTGGGTCACAACTTTATGCTCAGCTGCATTCAGCCCTACGTCCCCATTTCAGCTTAGACCTCTTGGGTTCAGGAAGGGAATTTCCTCCTTCACTCTCAGCTTGCAGCAGGAATGCCCAGCCCCAGCGGAGCAGTGCTCACCTGGAGCTCACTGATGAAGGTCTGTGGCTCTGAGATTAAGAGGTGCTGCTCAGGTTTGTCTTTGCTAATCTGGCTTTATTCAAATTGGCTGCTTCTTCTTTCATGTTAAACAAACAGACAGACAGAAAGCCTTAGGAAGCAAGATCTTGATTTCTTGATTAGCCCCAGCCCTGCTGGATTCTCAACCTGAAATCCATCTCAGTGATCTGATAGGAATTTTGTCGGTCCAGCGTTGGATGGAGAGCCAGTCCTCAATTTTCACTTAATTCCTGGAATTTTGAGCTGGCTGAGAACTTTTTAGTGAGTGCTGGTCTAACAACAATAGCACTGCTTCCACAGTGTTATTCATCTAGGATCTGAGTGCTTGGCAAACAAGAAATAATTAAGCTTACCATCAACCCTCTAGGGTAGGTATTAGGATACTTACTTAACAGATGTGTAAACACAGGCAGAGAGCTCATGTTTTCATGTTCAAAGCACTTTGTGAATGCTACCTAATTAATCCTCACAATGGCCTTGAGATATTTATTAGTCCCCTTCAAGGACAGAGCAAAGTCACCAGTAGAACCAAGGACTCCTCCTTGCTTCTTGAGCAGCACTGCTGCTCCCTGGGCTCCCACTGGGGACAGACAGCTCAGGACAGGCTTGGATTTTTGTTCAACTTG